CCTTAATTCCACTGATCAGTCATCTTGTTATCAAATATTAAATATTATTATAACCTTTATTGAGTAAAGCCTGAACATGTTTCAAAGTGCTTTTTATCAAAGTATCAAACAACCTAACAATACTCAAGAAATGGATCATTGTATAAAGAGGCGGTGGAACAGGTGTGACAGGAATGAAAGCAGAATAGGGGAAATAGATCTGGGGCCAAATATGCTCTGACTAGATGTGTGTGCAGTACTGTGGACAAGGGTGTGTGTGTGTGTGTGTGTGTGTGTGTGTGTGTGTGTGTGTAGACTTGGTTTGCTTGATTCATTCACCTGGGACTTGGGGGTCAGAAAACAATCTACACAGCACTGCTACAATTATCAAAAAGCCAACTCAGAACAAAATTAATTAGGGAAAGAGGCAGAACTGGTTTCTGCACCTCATCTTGCTCCCTCAAGTATTCAGCATGTCAATAAATAATGCAGTGTTCGTTATTGGCAAAAGCAGCTCAGCACATCACCAGATAATCCATGTATATGTGCGCTCAGGCACCTGTGTGGTTTTTTTTTGGGGGGGGTGTATGTGTGTGAGTGTGCATGTGGAGGTCTGAGGTCAACACTGGGAATCTTCCTCATTTGCTTTCTACCTTAGTTCTTGACACCAGAGCTGAACTTGGAGGTCACCAATTCAACTGGCTGGCCAGAGTGCTCCAGGGACCTGCTTGTCTGCACCTCCCTAGAGCTGAGATTACCACTGCTTGCTGCCATACCCTGCCTTTTACGTGGATTCTGGCAATTCAAACTCAAGCCCTCAAGCTTGCGCAGCAAGCACTTTATCAACTGATCCATCTCCTCAGCCCCTCACCAGATAATTCTTACGTATGATAAAGATACTTGTCACTGAGATAGCAGTAATCAACAGATAGCTATCTGCCTTAAAGAAACAATTTTGAAGCAAAGAGACTTTTAGCTGATTGTATATATAAAAACAAATATCACCTAGGTGAGGCCTCATTGCAGGGATGGTGGGTAGAAGACTTTGGCACATAATTTAAAGACTAAAATTTCTTCTGAATCTGAATTCAAGCCTTCAGAAATTGAAATAATATAAAGAATAGAGATACATAAAGCCTTCACCAGCAGAAAGGAATTCTAGAGCTTTGGGTTTGGGTTTTATATTTCCAAAATCTTTAAACTACAGTGAACAGCAGAAAGTTGGCAGAACCAGGAGCCATGTATTTCACAATTGTGTCCTTCACCTCCCTCGTGGACGCTTAAAGAAACCCTGGTTTAACTTAGGAGCAGGGCAGACATGAAGTCCTCTGGTCTCTAAATCTTTCCTCCAGGACTGAGAGAAGGGGACAGTGAAGAGGGGGGCGAGGGGGCAGTTACAAATTAGCAACCTAAGCTAGTACATATGTGCCCCATGTAACTTCAAAGTTCATCTACAATGGTATCAATTGCCACTTGATGCAAATATTCATGCCTAGATTTAAAAGATGATGAGGAATTTGGCAGAAAGGAGGTTAGAGGAAAGCACCCTGACCAAGGGTTCAACATGAGAGAGCAGAGTGTTTTAGGTTTTTCCAGTGTTTGGCACTGCCAACCCATGAACTTTACTTGGGGAATGTCTAAGGCCATGTAACCGTGATATCTGGGTTCCTCACAAGAAGTTTAGAATTCATTCTCTGGGAAATAGGAACTTGGTTACATGTTTTTGACTAGACTGGTGACCTGGTCAGATGGTCACATTAGCAACTCATTCTTGTATTTGTGGTGAGGGGGTGCTGCAGTACGGAGAGGCAGAGTGGTTTTAGTGATGTTCAGGGTAGCAGAAGGTGCTTAGAGCACCGGGGGGGGGGCACTTTTATGATGTGCAGGTGATTCAACATCAAGGTTGAGGGAGAACTGGAACAAAGCAGAGGGAGAGCTCTGCTAACATGTTGGCCTGGCAACTTCCTGTGGACTGTAGGCCTGTCACCAATTTGTATTTGAAAATATAAAAACTAGCATCGGATTTTTGTGGTGATTTCTGTCTCAGCCTGTTTCATGATTCTGTAACATTAACGAATGGAAATTTATTCACAGGCTGGGAAGTCATTCTGTGATAGAGGCATGAGAGCAAGAGGTACCAGACTCTTTAAAATGGCTTTAATCCTCCACATGAGGGCAGAGCCCTTCAGCCTTGAACACCACCACCATCCAAGTATCAACCAGATCCGTCCAGACCAGATGAGACTGGGTGTATTCAGAAAACAGAGACTTTGAAGCCTCTGGAAGTTTCTATCTCTTGATAGTGTTATAAAATCAACCAAATCTCAACATGACATTTGCAAGAGGAAAACACTGAAATTATAAAAATAACTGTTTCAGACTTTTCAAAAATAATTGTTTATACCAAACCCAAAACTAAGAATCAACCACAGCCATTACAGGGTTGACTGAGGTTAACCTTGGTCATCTTTGGACAGAAGGGATCTCTGGCTATTTGGAAATGGAGTCCCTTTGATTACATTTTATAACTAGAAATTGTTGGTCAAATCCTGTATTTAAAATTTCTTTACATGGGGATGATGAGATGGCTCAGCGATTAAGAGTACTGTCTGTTCTTGAAGAGGACCCAGGCTCAGTTCCCAGCACCTACATGACAGCCAATAACCATCCATAACTCCACTTCCAGGGGATCTGACACCTTCTTTTGGCCTCTGTGGGAAACTGCACGACATAGGTGAACTTTCATACATGCAGGTCAAATACTCATACACATAAAATAGAATAAAATTTAAAAATAAAACTCCATATGAATTAGAAATAGAAATAGATTATTCTGCAGGCAGCTAGAAGATAGGGCTTTCTGCATTATGCCAGGCCTTCCCATTTTTTCTGTTGTGAATTAGCAAGCAGAATTGCATTGCCGGTTTCCAGTCCTTTCTACAAGTCATCTTATCCCAGGTGGCATTTCCATCGTTACTCATCAGTCTCCTGGGCCTCACTGAAAAGTGCCAAGACTTCTTTCTCTTCCTGAAGATTTTACCTACTAGTTAAAGGTGGTCCCTTTCTAAATATCCTTGATTACATATAAAAGTTAAACTTATAAAAATGCACTTGAAAAACTACACAGCTGTGATAGGTCACATGAAACCTTTTTTTAAAAGTGCCACTAGTTTTCTGCTTCTGAGTAAAAATATTACCATTTACTGGGCATGGTGGTACACACCTTTAATTCCAACACTCAGGAGGCAGAGGCAGGTGGATCACTGTGAGATTGAAGGCCAGCCCGATCTCCATAGAGTTCCATGCCTGCTGAGACTATAGGGAGATTTTTTTTTTTTTTTTTTTTTTTTGAGACAGGGTCTACCTGTGGCCTCAGCTGGCCTGGAACTCACTATGTAGTTCCAAATACCAAACATATATGTATTTCCAAAGACCAAATACCACACACACACACACACACACACACACACACATATATTATTAGTGGTTTCAAAACACAAAACTCTCAAATAATTAAAGTTTTTGTTTGTTTGGTTGTTTGTTTTGAGACAGGGTCTCCCTGTAGCCCCAGCTGGCCTGGAACTCACTATATGGGCCAGGCTGGCCTCAGTCTCACAGAAATCCATCTGTCTCTGCCTCCTGAATGCTGGAATTAAAGGCATGAACCACCGCGCCCAGCCTAAAGAATTAATTTTTTTTCAGCATAAAACATCTATTTTATTCACATTAGAACCCTTGAGGTTCCATTGTGACTAATTCATGCATAATATTTTAGTATTATGTTCAATAATTTTTTATTTATTTATT